GTTTATGGACTCTGTGCTCAGCTAATGTATTAAAATACATAGTGATGGATGCAACAATGTTGATTTATTATAATTGTGAAATATGTGCTCAAATTATGCTGCTAGCACTTAATCATGTGAGAGATTACATGGCCAAACATGAGTACATTGTAAATATCAAGAATTATATAAAGAGGTATGTGTTGCTTTATTGTTATGTAGGATATTTTTTCTTAAAAAAGAAATCAAAATCACAAGACAAATGTGGTTGTCATCAGAGTATCACTTAGTACTTAATTATATTTTGTACCTTTGAAAAGTGTTGTGGGACTTTTGCAGTGTAAGACAATCTTGTTGTCTGTATTTCTGTAATTATAATGACATTTTTACTGATCCTATAATTGGTTATGGTCATGGACTAGTGAAATGTTTTTTGTAAAATTACATTTTATTTATACATAATTACATACACATACATGTATGTACAAATATATGTATGTATTATCAATAGAGATGCATAAATATACATCCCTAACTAAACTTTTCAGAGACCCAGCAGCTTTTATATTTTTGAGTATTGAATTTTCCCACAGACTTGAGGTAGGATTTTTGCCTCTACCTTTTCATATATGCCAGCCTCCCTGTATGTTCCAGATCCCCATAAATTATCAACTAACATTAATTTTCTGTAAATATAATTTATGTTTGTAGATAAATAATTGGAATAGTTCCCAGAATTTTTGAACAGGTATAGAACACCTGGATACCGTTGTGCACTTTCCGTGACTACTCAGAGTGAAGAGCTTTGCAAAGGACAGAAAGTCATGATAGACCATAAATGCAAGGGTTTCCTTTATAGAAAAAATCTTGTTGAATTACGAAAGAATGAAATCAAAAGACTTACAGAGAAAATAGTCTAAGAACCTGTAAAATATGATAGAGAATATTTTTCTATTAATTATACAATTCAGTTGCCAATAATGCTTATCCTACTCAACTATTCATGTCAATTATTAACTGCTATTATCTGTTGAAAATTATTTTTATTTGTGGATTTTTGTTCCTCATCTCATTCCCTGCACTGGGAAATATGGACTTGAGGAGTCTAGATCCAGAGGCAGTGATGGACTTCAAGGCAAAATACTTCACTGTACTTTCTCATCACACTTTAGATGTTGTTCCAGTTTTAGAGCTGAGTCTCATAAAAAGTCCCCATCTCTAATTCTGATCATTTTATCTGGCACGTAGGGCTTTTTCTCAGTGATCTGTGACATTGCCTCCTTGTCATATTTGATAGATGACCTGAACACGTCAAATTAATGTAACTGATAAATCTTAATGCAAATGCAGGTAAGGATAGTCACATCCTTGAAGGAATAAAAATCTCACTGAGGTGTGGTAAGCATGCTAAATTTAACTAAGTCATTACAACAAATAAAGAATCCCATATCGGTGCTGTTTTCTCTTAGAATGTAGTTATTATGGAACTGGATACCCAGTTTAAAACTGAACTTAATAGTTGTGGACTTTGTTCAGATTCTGAATTTTGAATAGGATTTTGTAAGATGCTTCTTTACTTGTGGTAGGAAACAGTTTCCAAATTGCCCATTCGTAGTTTTGGATTCCCAAAATCTTCATATTGAAAGAGAATTTTTGGATGCTTCCTTTTTAAAGTTATTCTGTAATTTTTAGGGGACCTAATTACTGCTGTCTTCCCTAGATTCTTTGCTCTAGGTAAACAAACAAACAGAGAGAATGATGTAGCTTTCCTCTGAAATTCATTTTCTTTCCTTTCTATACAGATAGAAATAGTATGAAGAATATGAATATGTTTCTTACTTAGGCTTAGTGAGAAACAAAAACCTGTTTCCTCAGATATACCTAACAATCAAGCTGGAGTTACTACAGTCAGTTTGCTGTGAAGTGTACATCTAGGTGCCCCTCTGTTGGAAAGAACTCTGCCCAAAAAACTCCACACTGCTTCCTTCTTTTTGATATTAGAGAAGGTTTAAAAGAATGGCCCACATTCACTACTTTTATGAGCTACAAAGCAGGGTCAGAACTTTCCTCTGAAATGCCCGCAGTGTTTGCCTTGGGGACTCCAAGGCCTCCATCAGTTCCTGTAATGCTCCTGCAGCTGCTGGGTAATCAGGCTTTTCTGTTTTGAAACAGCCTGCTAGTCTTAACTCCAGAAATGGATACTGTGTCTTTTCACTTAACTACTTGGCTTTCCCCCTACCAAATCAGAGAGAGGCCAATTATTTCATACATGGTCATCCCAAGTCTCCGTTGCTGCCTTTTGAACCCACTAAGAAATTTTCTTCCACATACAATTAACGGTTGTGTCATAATGCCTTAAACTTTGACCATTCAAAAAAGCATCTTGTTTACAATTTTATTAATAGCGTTGCCATAACTATAACTAGTTTAAAAAAATTGATAACACTGTGTTGTAAAACATGAGATAATCTGTGACTATTAGTGGTTTCAGAAAGGGATGATGTTGCAATTGTTCTTTCTGTCTTGGTAGGTGTATTTCTTCAGAATTAAGGAACTTCAGTTTTCATTACACTCAGTAAAAGTGCTGCCTTTTACTCGATACTTTTGCCGTTAGCCACTAAATGCCATTCGCTTCTATGTGTATCTGCTGATATATCAGTCAGTCTTCCTCAAAAAAACCCAAATCTTTGAAGTCCTTCAAAAGTTTTCTTCTCAACAGGTACTTCTCCAAACCCGGGTTGCTGATGGCTCCTGTTTCAGTGGACATTTTAAGTTTGGGGGTTATATAGAATCCCCAGATTACAATGCCAAGATATAAACTGTAATATCTTTTACTCCTTACATGGTGCAGCTACCTAGACATAGTGGAAGTCAGACAGTTGGTTTTACTGTATGCTGTCCATAAGGCCTCCTTAGGTGTGCAATTCTTCAGCTATGGGAGGAAGAGTGGAGAGAGGGTGCAGAGGAGGATACCAGCTGCGGAGCACAGCTGCATTCAACTCTGCCTGGGCCCTGATGCCTTCTGAAGTGCAGAAGATGTTAGAGTGACTAAAGGACTCCTTGTTAATTCTAGGAAATAAGAACGAGGTGGGACAGCTAATGTTGTTAATTTATTGATGCACAGGATTTTCGGTCCTAAAACCACTTTGTCATACTTTTAAACCTACGGTTAACACATAAAAAAAGTTACATGAAAGGTCAAGAAATCAGAAACAAGAGCAAGCATTTTCTCATGTGAAAATTGAATGATTTTTAAAGACAAAAATAAATAAATTATGAGTTGATTAATGTGGTATCGGTATGTGAGAATGTGCTTGTCTTTCCTGCAGTTGAGAAAACAGGGATAGGGAGAAATGCAAAGTAGCAAAGAGGTGAAGAAAAGTATTTCATTGCTATTGTTAGGAGACTGCTTGTTAAAAAAGGAACGTCTCCCATTCACAGGTGCTTAGAGCTGAAACCTATTACTCTAGACCTTGTCATTTTGGAAAGATATTTATTTGACCTAATAGGCTTGTTTCAGCAGATACTTGTGGGAAGACTCTCCTCCTTTCTTATACTGCAGGCGACAGTATAATCAGGAAAGGCTGAGAGAGCATAGGAGAAATGTGATGGGCAAAAGAAAACAGGAGTAGACAGAATGGAAACCTCCATGCTTCAGTCTGAGATTTCACTGACTCAGTGTTGAAGGCCAGCTGCCTTCTGGATTGCCTTTCTGCAATCTGGTGATTAAGGTTCAGCAATGGAAGAAAAAAAGTCTGTTAAGACAGTCTTTTGCTAGGGAATTATGACGTAGAATTTAGTCCACTTTTAACGGTTCCATGGTGGTGGATGTTTTGGAATATTCTTACTTTGTCCCAAATTCAGCTCCAATAGTAATATCCATCCATAGTTTGTTTAGAAGTGTGGAATGTACCTCAGTCCCAGAGTTCCATTAAATGTCTTTGTTTGAACTGAATTGATATTTCTGTCTTTTTTTTTCGTCTTGCTTGTAGACTTCTTATGAGTTTTTATTGCATTTTTATCTAATTCCTATACTGGAATTCAGTATCAGTATAGGTCTGTAGGGCTCTAGTTAATACTAGAGTTCCTCCAGAACTGGGCGGCTGGATTTGGGCTGCCAGCGCCCAACTCATTTATACAACTTATTTGCAGAGTCCTTTCTTTCAAAACTCTCCAAAACAGGCCAAGGGTGGGCTGCAGAGCAGGCTACTTGCCTTTGATGATCAGATGCAGCCTGTGGACTTTCTGTTATGTGCTTTGATGTCAAGGTTATTCAAAACATATTTTTGGAAGGTGTGTGAGAATCTGGCTATATAGCCAGGAATTCAAATAAAAGCTATGGGAGACTGGCAGCACTTAGGTGATTTTCTTGTATCCTCATTACTACTTTGGAGGCATCCTGATAGAGTTACAGCAGAACCCACATTAAATTGACTCAATGATATAAACTCAATTCAGGTATTAACTGTCTCCTCCTGTATCACGCTTCTGTCTTTGAACACAAATTCAGGGGACAAGAAAAATCAAATGCTGCAAAATTGACATGTGTGCTGGGTTGGCGTCACCCACGCAACATAGCTGTATCTCTTTCTGAAAATGTTGCAGTGCATCATGAAAAAATAAATATTACTTTTTTGGCTTTTCTGCTTCTCAATTAATTTATCTTCTTAAATAATCCTGATAGTCTTAGTCTTTTCAAAACACAATATGATTTATTTTCTGTGAAGCAATTTTTGTGAAAATGATGATATTTTATCATATTTTAAATTAAAAAGCAGGAATTTGCCAGTATTTGTTTGTTGAGTTTCTGTAACTGAAATATCTAAGAAAATATACACGATAATCTAATTATTATCCTGACACTTTGTATAATGCAACAATTAAACCTCCTCAATTATCATTCAGCTATTCCAATGGTATAGAAATGTGTGAAGGAACTCAAACAGAGGTAAAAGAAAACAAGGTCTTCGAGGTTATCAAAGCTAAAATTCTTTTATTTATTATTTTAAAACTGAAGAATATATAATTTTTATTTTATTTTATAATTAGAAAAAGGCAGTGTTTAAATACTGTCAGGTCTGAGTACCAAAACAATTGAAGCTAGCAAATGTGAAATAAATGCAATGCTGTCTTTTTTTCTCACAGTATTAAAAAAAAGAGAAAGATGAAGCACATCATGGAACAGGGAGAAGCAACAGTCAAATCATGGTAAACAAAGTGAAGTGATATTCAGGAAAAAATGAAGCAATAAATAAACAGTTGCAAAATCAATTTGATCTTTTAAAAAATGTGTTGTCTGAGTTTCTTGGGGAAATATTCAGATGGATTGTAAGCTTTGGATTAGTAGCTTTAAATGGCAAAGCTGACAATCCCATTAGTGCTGGGTGCTCTAAATTGAAGGAAGAAAAGAAAAGCTTATGCTGAATATTTCAATGTGTACGGGATCATTAAAAAGCAGAGATAAAAGAAGAGTCAGTGAATGGGGAAAGAAGCCATGGGAGATAAGGCTAATTCCAATTTTATAAATTAAAATACTGTTCACTAAAGTTAGAAAGAAAAGGCCTGTTGCTGCCCTGTGGTACACAATACTCTTCAATATGCATTTTGTAATGTAGGCACTTCACTGGAAATTTCTCTCATGCATGATATATGAAGATGTGCAATTATAGGAGATCAATCATGAACATTGATACTGGAACAAAACCTTCTGAAATGCAATTATATTCATGTATATATTGTATAAGACATCATGTCCTGGATTTCATACCTGGCTTGTCTTACGGCTAAAATACTATAAAATCAATTTTTTAAATCTTCTGTTTATTTAACTCTTGTGGTAGAGGCCTCAGTTTCTGACAGTTTCTCACTTGTGTGGTTGGCATATTTCTATGACATGGTCCAGTCCTGGAAGATATGTTATCATAAATCCCTTGCAGAGGCCCAATTTAAATTTTCAACCATATTTACTTAGTGTGATTATTCAGTCAGTGAGTTCACTTCAGTCACTGGACAAAAAGTCCATGTTCCTTTCAAAGTACACATGGCTTATCTACAGTTCAATTTTCTGACATGGGCAGGACTTTGATGGAGATGACAGGTGGTGCTCAATGGGTTTGATCATCATCCATGCAAACTTGCATAGGCGTTGCTTGTTGCAGTCTTTTTGCCAGTATATCATGTTCCTACGGTTTAGATTTGCTCCAGCACACGCGTCGTACCACCAGCCTCCCCCAGGAATGTCATTGAGTTCCAGTTTAGCACAATTCAGAAAGTAATTGTCATTGTCTCTGTCCTTGGTGGTGAACTTCTGGTTGTCATGGAGATAGGCTTCTGTGTCCAGGGTCAGCGCATCAGTGGCATTACCTTTGTATAGACCGACCCTAATGCGGTATTGAGATTCCTCACCTTCAATAAGGAATGGTTCATACTGTCCCCATTTAATTTCAGCATTTAGGTTTACAAGTTTAACTCCAAGTATATATTGCACAGAGCTGCTAGTTAACTGATGCATATATTCATTTCCTAACCAGTGGTTCTCATGAACAGAGCCAAATCCATATTTGTAGTCCTGCCAGGTCCTGTCAAAGTCGACAGTACTGTTGGCAGTAATGTGCTGGATTATTGTCCAGCCACCATCCTGCATGTTACAAGAAACAACAATAGGGTCCTCTTTTGGTTGGATGATGTAAAGACCATCTCTGGAATTTCCTTTGGAGCGCTGAAAAATCTCAAAACAATCTCTTGGATAGTCTGAGAAAAAAAAATAATTAAAGTAAATTTCTGCTCAAATCATGAATTTTAGAATTTGAACTCTGTCCTTTAGAGTGAGTGAATGATTGTCTTCTGATTGGAAGCTGACTGACTTCATCCCAGATGGTTGGCACTCACTCAGCTAAAGAGGGAAGACTTCAGGACAGAAGATGCAGCAAATGTTCAGAAACTCAAAAAAAGGTTTGTTACCCTGTGATACAACAAAAGTGGTATTGTATGGTCTCATGACCAACAGATCAAAAGTACACTAAACAGTCTGGTTAGTATAAAAAGCAAACAAACAAAAATGATGACAAAAAAAAGTGCCCCCAACTTTCTGGAAAGAGAAGGGGACCATGAGTGACTATTTTATCTACTACTGGTCCTGTAGGGAATTAGATCATACAGTCTTCTCACAGAATAATTAAATTTCTTCTCTTCCAACTGAAAGGCACTGTAGACTTCACAAACTGTCACTACTCTGATAGAAATCCTTATCTAGTTCCCAATCTAATTTTAATGACTTCCACTGTCCATCTTCATTTCTTTAGTAGTATTCTTTAGTTAAATAAGTGCTTCTTCCTGTGTAATAAGCCCCCATGTACCATGAGAAAACTTATATTTTTAATAAGTCTTTGTTTTGTTAGGGTAAGTTGTTAGGGTAAGTAATTTCTTTTATTATTTCATGTAAGATAAATCTTCAGTTCCTTATTTGTCTTAGTAGCTTTTCTGCATCTCTTCACTGGATAATCTCCTAGAATGTGGGTATAATTTGCACACAGTATTGCAGATGGCCTTATACGGTGACACTGATTCTTTCAAAGTCTTACTAAAACATCTTTGTTGGTATTTTCTAGGATTGCATTTGTATTGCTTAGTTTCCTTTAAGCTGGAGTTTTGTTCTTTGAAACTGGTAAGGTCCTCACCTTGCAGTAAAACCTAAAATTTTGTACTTTATTTTTCATCTCAGTGGTATTACTTAAGAACATCTGTGGGGTTTTCTACATAATATTCCTACTTTTTGTATTTGCATTTCTCTCCTTCATGGTATCATTAAATTCTATCATCTAATTCCTATTTCTGCATTGGTATACTCCATAAGAATATTGAAAAGATAACTAATTAGCAAATACTTCCAGTCTCACCTTGACTTTATGGCTTACTTTTCTACCCAACTCATTTTCATTTTCTTTTCAATCTCAGTGTAACTCTAGCATCTCTGATTTAATATTGTATTGTATCATAGGTTTTGTAGAAATCCAGATGGACTAAACCTGTTAAATAATTATTCAATATAGTCTTTTATATTTGATATTTGGAAGTTTATTGATACTTCTAAGCCACTCAAGACAGATTTACAGGAGTATATAGGCTTTCTGAGGTCTTAAGTTTTCTGCCTTTCATTTCCTAGTAGAATCTACAGCCATGAATAGAATAAATTTAAATCTCAATACTATCTGCATGACATTATTAAATATCCTGAAAGAGCAGACCTGTGTACACAACCCTGTACCCCAGTTGTTAGAACATTCACCTGGTAGACATTGCCTGCCTGCCTCCAAACCTGATCCCATGATTTTATAGAAGGATTATTTAAGTCATGTATATAGTTATGTCCAAGTCAGTGATATACACAGTGACACTTGTATTTACCCCCTCAGTGAACATTATAGAACAATTTCTATCGACAGCTAATGAGAAAAATTTTTCGGCTGATTGTTATAGACAATAAGATTAATTTGGAAAGTAAATTTTATAAATCCCAAAGTGCCATGGGGATGAAAATGAATCAATCCCACTACTCTTTGTGTACATTTTATGTGGGATCTACTCTGGTAAATGTATTAAAAGCATACCAAGCTGGATTTTGAAAGCTAGATAGGTTGCCTCAATTATAGGTACCAATGGGATCTAAGTATTGAGATGTAAGATGTAATCTAGGTATGATTGTTCTAAGAATAAGTCTTCAAATGTTACAGAATTTTATTTAAAAATATGAACAAACAAACAAACAAAAACAAACAAGCCCCCCAAACAGAACAACAACAACACAAACCACAAAAACCCAATAATGTGTTGATTTCTCTTGAATTAGATGGCTGCAAAGTAAGGTTTTTAAAGATTTGGAACTTTGCGGCAGGACATGTTCATATTGCAAACTATTTTTTCAGGGCTAACTTTCAAATATGTGAGCTGAAAATGTTACAACAAAGCAATAAAGTAAAACACAGCACGCATCTAAATCTCTCACTGTCTTTGTGAGTACCTTTTTCATTGGCATTACCCAGTCTCTCATAGTCTCTCTGGGGGAGAAGGTGGGCATTAGCCAGGACCACTGCCTCTTTGGTGCTCAGTGACACAGTGCATTGAGAGAGCAAGAACAGCATAAATCCTGCTGAGCTTGTCAACAACATCTTCCTTCTGAGTCAGTTCTCCTGCAGAAATACAGAACTGTAACACAGATTAGAGCTGAAAATGGAAATATTTAGGACTTTTAGTGTGGAAGTCCTGAAGGAGAAAGGCTCTGAAATACCTAGCTTCAACATAGTAGGCCTCTGTCAAAATTGGCTTCTTCCATCTTTGAGGTTCCTCTCCTTTCCTGGTGTCTCACACCCCATTTCTGACTAGTCATTCCCGTGACACAGAGAACTGTGCTGCGACACTTAGAACATCTCTCACCTCTGTCACCTTGTGCCATGCTGGTGATGCCATGCTGGGCAATGAAAAAAGCCATTGAGAGTAATGTAATGACAAAAGAAAAAGCACATCTTATATTTATCAGAGTTGAATTTCTTATTCCCTGAGTCCAAACTACAGTGAAGGAGAGACACCAATGGTCGAATTGGCAGAAACAGTAACATCTCTGCTGACTGTCTGTAGCTCAAACAGTACTCAAAGACATGGCTTTCCTAATGCTGGGAATGTTTCCATGCACTGGAAAACTCACTTAAGCACATCTGAACTGTGCTTTCTGTGAATTTCTATCTACAGGTTTAAATAATAGGTCACAGGTTTAAATCAGATTAAAAACCCAAAAGTTCAATAAACAAATCAAAAAGAACTTTCCTTTAGCCTCTCCAAAACCAAGAGTGCAATATATTGAATTAAAACAGCTTTGAGCCTCATTTTATCCACCTTTTGGGGTACAGAACTTATAACCCTCCATCTGATACAGCAAGAAGTCTTAGGCTATTACTAGACTAAATCCTGCAGTCGTCACTTAGGCAAATCCCAGATTCTCTGAAGAGGAGTTTCTGTATCAATGACAGTTTAGACTGAATCAGGATAACGAATGTTTCCTATATTCTCAAAGGACACATTTACTTAGTCTCTAGCCGAACTTTTTTAACTTTTTAATTTTTTCTTTAATTTAATTTTTAAGGACTGGGCTCTCTACAGTGACTTTGATGAAGGCAGAAAATAGATCCAGCAAACAGCTCTTCAGTCAGAGCTTATTTCCTGCCAGTGTCAGCACACAGTCTGCAGAGGCCAGTATCCTCCGCAGTGGCTTATGTTGCAACAAGACCACATTCCTTATAAATCTAATGACTTAGCAGCAGATTCAGCAAACAGTTTTCCAGAGTGAAAAAATATTCAGCACATTTTTAAAAAAAATGTTCAAGATAAATCAACATAATAAAGCTCAGGTTTGAGACTTAAGTTTTATACCTACCATACAAAACACCAGCAAAACAGAATTTTCTACTCTACCTAAAACTATTCAGTAATAACTATGATTTACTATTAGCATACAATTTGCTGTTTTATGTAAAGTTGGTCATTTGACATTAGGATCATAATAAATTGGAAAATTACCTTCCATGAAATTTGGAAGTGCTTCCCTTAAAGCATTTAAGTTTCCTGTGCCTGTATTTCCTACTGTCATGTATCATTTTCCCTGAAAGCTTCTATTATTATTGCTATTACTAACTATTAAATTTTAAATGACTTGAAATCAAAACTTAACCCACAAGCATAATTAAACTTCATGAAATTTGACCTTCAACCTGGAGTTATTTTTTTAACTGTTTCATCTTTCTTTTAGCATTTTTGAATGAGTCAGTCTTTTCTTTTTTCACGCATATTTACACACTGAAGTTATTTACATATCTGTTTAATTCCAGAATAGAAGTTGATATTATAAATTATTAAGAAATCACCCAAAGAAAACAGCCCTGGGCATGCATCTTACCTCTTTGAAGTGAAGACTGGCAAGGAAGAACACAAGTAAATGAGCTCACTCTCTACAGTTGTACTTTGCCTGCTACTTAAGTCCAAGTGAATAAATCAGCTCCAACATGCTATCACAAATGCAGCAAAATTGCATATTCCTTATTTCACACTGTGCTTATTCTGCTGGACTTTGCTCCGACAAATTACATTTGCAAGTATGTATGTATGAATTATAAAGTACAAAGTTCTTCCATAATGATTAAAATGACATAGTTACTAAATTATATTTCCTTGGTTAATCAACAGGCACAGTGATGGAGAACCATGAAGAAGTTTCAGTTCAGTAGATTATTTATGTTACTTAAATAGACACAGGCAGATGCTCATTTTGCACAGATGTCATTTTGCACAGATGAATTAACTAGAAGCTGTACTGCTAGCCACATTTAAATTGCATAGAGACAACTTGATTTTTAATTATTAGGAACAATCCAACCATAAACTATGTTGTTACTTCATGTTTTAATGTGAATGAATCAGAAGCAGTGTCTCAGAGCTCTAAAAATAAAGAAAACAAAAGCAGAACAGGCTGGTCAACAGGTTTGTATTTGAGTTTATGTAGATTAACAATAATTAATTAACATTAATTCAGGTCACAACTGTAATGAATTAAATGAATTAATTGTTGCTATGGATCTGAAAGTTGTACTGTCTGTCTGCATCGCCTTTAGATGGTGTCTAATCTAGCATTTGCCCTTTAAAGATGAGCCAACACTTAAATTTTTGAGCTCCTTGATCCACTCTGGAACCCACTCTGATCAGATTCCATCCTTGAAACAAATCACAATTAAAATTGATGGAACATTTAAGTCCTGTGCAACCTCTACTTCAGGATTCATATCAAATCATAATCTCTTCTTCAATACTTCATCCTCAGTGAGGATTCCCATGTGAGGATTTGTATTTATGTACAAATAAATAAATACCCCTAGGAAATGTTTTAAGAAATATTTGCTTGTAACATTTAAAAATCAGTGATATTTTTCTTCACTTTTAAAGTACAAGCAATGCTTTATTATACAGGAGGATGGCCACAGAGAGTCCTCCCTCTGTCACAGTATCTTCTCTCTGTCACTGGTCAGTAGCAGAGCTACTCTGCTTTTAGCATTATGAAGCTCAGGGAATTTCTGATATCTGTGTGTTTGACAATATGTTATGTATGGTTAGTACCAAGTTTTACAAGCCTTGCAAAGGCCTGAAAATATTGTATGGTAGATTATGAAATAATAAAATTGCTTTGAACAGATAAAGATCTTCGTGAAATAGTATGCTAAGAAAAGGCAGAGGAGCCTTTCCACTCTGCCCATATTGATACACTCTGAAAAACACCATTGACCCTAGTGTTGTTTATTGATAGGCCTCTCGTCACCCTGATATAAACTGGGGTACATCTTTGTTTTGTGCCTTTTACTCCCATATATTCCATCACTGTTTATCTCCTCCCCCATCTTTCCATTTTTCTTTACCTTCTTGCAGTTTGCTTCTTTGTTGACTTCCAAACTTTCATCTGAGCTGGCAGAGCAGAAGTGAAGTGGGAAGTGTTTAATTAGAAGAGAGAAGAAAGGGCATCAGCATTCATTCACTCATGCTCAGGAAAAGCATCTATTTCTGTAGCTGAAAACTTTGAAGAAACAACTAAATCTTTACATATTTCTCTCTGCTCTTGATTCTGAGAATAATTTTTCGCCCTGAAAATTATATAATGATCTTAAGGTCAGACTACTTTACATTAGTATGGCTTGGTCATATACAGATTTCAAAATAATGCATTGCTATGACTTATTTTTAGCCATGTTAATTAAAATACTTAGTTTCCTAGCCCAATGACCACATATTCCTTCTGTACAATATACTGAAGTTTTAATGATCCTTCTAATTCTGCTCAGCTTTAACTGGCAAACATTCATCTGATTTTTTTCAATTCAGGCTCTTCTATGTGGAAAGACTCTTTACAAGTTCTCTGTAATTCTATGGCCCATTGATCCAGCCTGTTCAGATCCCTCTGCAGAGCCTTCCTGCCCTCCAGCAGATCAACACTCCCACCTAACTTGATGTCATGTGCAGACTTACTGGGGGTGCACTCAACACCCTAGTTCAGATCATTGATAAAGACATTAAACAGGACTTGCCCCAAAACTGAGCCCTAGGGAACACCACTGGTGACCAGCCACCAAGTGGAGGTAGCACCATTCACCACCACTCTCTGGGCCAGGTATTCAGCCAGCTTTTTACCCAGCAAAGACTATGCCATCCAAATCACAGGAATCCAGTTTCTCCAGGAGAATGCTGTGGGAAACTGTGTCAAAGGCTTTACTAGAGTCCATGTAGACAACATCTGCAGCCTTTCCCTCCTACACTTGAGTGGGTCACCTTTTCATAAAAGGAGATCAGGTTGGTCAAACAGGACCTGCATTTCACAACCCATGCTGCCTGGGCTTGATCCCCTGGTTGTCCTTTTATGTGTTGTGTGATGGCACTCAAAATGACCTTCTATGCCACAACCTTCCCCAGCACCGAGGTCAGGTTGACAGGCCTGTAGATCCCTGGCTTCTCTTTCTGGTCTTTCCTGTAGATAGGTGTTGCATTTGACCTCCCTGGTTAGCCAGGACTGCTGGTAAATGACGGACAGTGACTCAGGGACCTCTTCAGCCCGCTCCTTCAATACCCTCCTGTGAATCCCACCTGGCCCCATAGACTTGAGTTTATCTAAGTGGTATAGCAGGTCACTGAGCATTTGCTCTTGGATTATGGGGGCTTCATTCTGCTCCCTGTTCCTCTCTTCCAGCTCATAGGGCTGAGTACCCCGAAAACAACCGATCTTGCTATTAATTTGCCACTGAGGCAAGGAAGGCTTTAAGCACCTCACTCTTTTCCTCATCCCTTGTCACTCTCTTCCCCCACATCCAATACAGGATGGGGATTATCCTCAGCCATTCTGCTGGTAATATATTTACAGAAATAGTTTTTATATATTTATTTTATTACAGTCTTCTAGGGCACTAGTCAGATTAAATTCTGGTTGGGCTTTGACCCTTCTGTTTTTATCCCTGCATAACCTTACATCACCCTTGTAGTTCTCCCAAATTTCCTGCTTCTTTTTTCAAAGGTCATAAAATCACCTTTTTTCCCTGAGTTCCAGCCCAAGCTCTCCGTTCAGCCAGGTCTTCCTTGCCACCTAACCTTTTGGCACATGGGGATGGCCTGCTCCTTCACCCTCTTGAAGAATGTCCAGCCTTCCTGGACTTCTTTGCTCTTCACTAGTGCCTCCCAAGGGACTCTGTCAAACAGTCTCCTCCACAGGCCAAAGTCTGCTCTCTCTCATCCAAGGAGGCAGTTCTGCTCTACCTCCTTACTTGTCCAAGAACCAAAAAACCTCTCATTTCATGATCACTGCCCAAGACGGACTCTCTAATTATGGGAAAGGCTTTGACACAGGCTGGCAACTTGCATACCCAGGACCTTCAAAAAGATTTGTATGGTTGCCAGAAACATGTAAAATGCTAACTTTCACGTAAGAAAGTTGTTCAGCATACTGAGGAACTCAAGAGACAAAGTTCTAACAAGTCAAAACACATAAAACACATAACGAAGGGCTCACTGAGTATCTATCCTGAAAGATGCATTGGGAAAACAAATTGACAAATCCCCACCAAACAACAAAATCAGGTGTCCTAGTTACTGGGGCTGGGTCCAGTTTATCACTATGTGGGTATAACTAAAACTGTGTATTCTACACTCTCTATGTCATTTCTGATGGACTATTACTAATGGATCGCTTGCAGCAGCTGCCCAGGGCACACCTGACACCTTAGGCTACAAGCCAAGGCAGGGGAGTGTTTCTTTGTCTTCACACCAATGACTCAGCTGTGATACCACCCCCCACCCCCCCCCCCCAGGGAGGCATTAGCACCTTCACACCCAGCCTGAGGGGTCATCTCTGCTAATGGATCATACTGGACTGGCATAATAGGCAGCTGCAAGACCTAGACCATCAAAGATTCCAAAAATATCCCATGACTCACAGAGTTAAATCATCCATTGTGAAACTCCCCGCCCTGGGCGAGGTACTGGACATTCCCACCTGAACCTGAGTATGTATAATCTTGGGGTTTTGGAACTTCTGGTACCGCTTGTCAGATCCAGAGGAGGACCAGAACTCAACAGGACTGCGACTGCCACTCTCGACAAGACTGTGATCATTACTTCGACAGAACTGCCACCATCATCTGCACCAACAGGTTTCCTTT